CCGAGCGGAGGGACCCGTGTGCGTCTCTCCTCTGGCTGCAGGTCCCCGGGCTCAGGGCTCAGCTCCCTGCCGGCACCCGCTGTGTCCTGCCTTGTCTGGGCTGCGTTACTGCCCTCCCTTCCATTCACCTTGTTTTGCCTTGAAGAAATACCATGGGAAAACCTGCCTGCAAGGGCGGAGTTGGGGGGATCTGTGCCGGCTCTAGGGGATTCCTCTATACGCTGCCTTTTGTCCAGGGAGGAGAAACACGTGCTTTGTTTTATTAAATTCTCAAATGCACATGGCGTTCCTTTGGTTGCTTTTTAATCATTAACTTCTTTACTCGAGCTGTTCACGAAATGGCCTGGCCTGCTGTTTGAATATTACCTCTCTTCTGTAAAAGAAGAAATGAGCTGTTGTAGGCTGCTGTTTTCATATATGACTAGAACCGCGAGTCACGTAACTCCTATTAGCCTGCATTTTTTTTCTCCTGTCCGTAGAGTAAGAATAGGGTTCATTTCTTGAGAGTTGTGCTCTGATAGCTATAAGTTATTCAAAGTACTTTTGAGATCCTTGTATGGAAAGTGCCAGGGAAATTGCAAAGCAAGTTTGTTTTTTGTTGTTGTTGGTTTTTTTTTTTTTTTTTTTTTAAATGAGTTCTACTGAGAACTAATTTCATACATGAATAAAATCCCGTTTTCCACATGCAATGCCTAGGTAGAAGAGGAAAAGTCAATACGTTTTACTGACATACGTGCTCCCTCAGAACCAGGCAGGTAAATTGAGAGCTTGTGTGTCTGTGCTGATGCATTTTTGCACAAAATTTAACATACTTTGATTTCCAACTTGAGTGTTTATTACACTGGCTTAGTAGACTACTGGAAGCACTGCATAGCCTAGTTGAAATGCAGAAATACACTGTATGTGGTAATAACTCGCAGAATTTGCGCTTTAATGGGATAATCTGTCATGGTTCTGAAAAACCCTATTGATGTAAGAAAGTGTACTCAAGTGGTAGGGATGTTTTGGTTGTAGAGGTTTTTCCCTCAAATTATAAAATAGTGTGCTGCTGAGCATGAAAGTTGCTTAAACCTCCTCCAGGTTACAGCTGCGTGCATGTATAAGGGAAAATAATGGGAAGTTGCCTTCCTTTTTCTCAGACTCCTCCTCCACTTCATACACTCATGCCCGCACATGCATCCTGTTGCCTTCAGATTCTGCCTTGGAAGTAAATGTCGTAAAAATGAGTTGCAAAGTTGCTCTTACATGTCAGTGCTTCTTGGATCCCACTGGGAGGGAAAAAGGAGTTGCACTTGAGAAAACTCTGTAACTAGACATTTTAGCGACGGCTGTATCCTATTCACTGCTTGACTGCTGCTGGCATAACAAAAAGCAGTTCAGATTGGTTCTAGTTCTTTATTCACATCATGAAAATTGCTTACTAAATTGGAAGCGTTTCACACCAGGGATTGTGCCTTCCTTATTTTATTGGGCAATGTCTAACACGCTGTGTACCACTGGAATAAATAGTAGGTCATTTGTAATTGTCAGCACTGTAGATTGCAGAATTTTCTTTGCAATCGTAATTTTGTGATGACAGCTAAACATCTATTTTGGCCTAAAAAAAGAAGAAAAAACAATATTTGTTTCTGGCATTGCCACATAGGTAGAAGGAAACTAAATTATCATGCATTGGATTCATAAGATTATAAACTAGGAAAAAAAAAAGTCAGCATATTTGACTATGATGTCCACCGAAAAACAGAAAGAAATTCGTAGTGAAGATTTTATATATGCTTTTCAGCATTCACACTACTCTGATGCCTCCGAGTTGGTCTTCTCCTGGTGGGAGAAGTAGAACTACATCCATTTGTATTAGTTCAAGGTCTGTCACTTTGCTTTGTGTTTTATGACTGTGTAAGCATACGTATATTAATAATTATAATTATGTAGGGGATCTGTGCTAGCCTGCATTAAAAACTAGTCACACGGAAATTGTCTTCTGAATGCTGTGGCAGACTTCTCTTGCACCTTGCTTTGGAATGCAAATGCTTATTTTCTATAGCTGAATTTGATTAACTTACTGTCAACTTTCCTTGACTCTTCTGTCTTAAACCATTTGCTTTCTTCCTGCGTGACTTGTTAAGACGGACCACAACTCACTAAAGCAACATGAGGGTTAATGCCCACACTTGTATGTGAGAGTGGAAGTTTTCTGCAAATGTATTGCCGCATAATGTCATTTTGCTTTCGTAGCATGGCCGGTGGTCACGAACCAACGTTTTTTCTCCGGCATTCATTGTGAGCTTTGGAGCTAGCTAACCTCCTAGGGGAAGTATTGGGCTGTGAGTTACCTTCCCTTTGCCTGAGGTGAGAGGTGACAGTGCTCCGAGCTGCTTCCCCGTCTTCTTAGTTAACAGACAGTGTGTTTGCCCATGCATTAGGTGGATTCTATAATTTTTATAGGTCTCCCTTCTCTCTCTATAGATATGTGGCCTACAGATGATTTTTTTCCTGAAAACTGTAGAAGAAACATGATGGGGGGGAAATGAAACTGTTGAAAATAAGGGCTTACTCATCTGAAGCTATCCTCAGTCAAGTTTGTCTGGCAGGAGCTGCTGCTGCTCTTTTTGTGTCACGGCCAGTAAACTCGGGCTCTGGCTGAGGCTTCCAGCATCCCTCTTGCCAGGGATGCGGTGCTGTGCCAGGGAACTCAGGGAGAAGCCTGTCAGTCAGGCACTGGGTCAGCCAGCTCTGCTTAAGCGCTGCGGGCAGTTTAATACCAAAACATCACTGGGCTGAGACTACTGAGGACTGTTCTGCTGAGGAGGTGAGTGTGGGAGCAAAAAGGTGCCAGGATCTCGGTTTCATTTGACTTGTCGAGGTGGATTAGCAGCTCATTGCTGCCAACAAGTCTTGCTTCTCCTCCCCCTCCCCACCATGTTGTGCCACCTCTGGGAAGCTGTTTGACTCTAATGTGGTAAAAACCAGATAACCAAAAATAGTTTTTTGCTGGTTAGTTGAGTCAGTGCGCTGCGCAGCAAGGGGAACGCTCATGGGAGGTATAAGTGGCGGGAGCAGGAGGTGTCGGGGGAGAAGTGGGGGGGACTTTGCATCTGCTTAGGCTCTGAGGGGGAAAAGACAGCCAAAAGTGAATGTCTGACACTTCTTAACAACCAGTAAGCCAGTTGCATGCTTTAATTGTGTTTATTCCCGGTCCCTGTAACATCTACCAAATGTAGACAATATCACTGTGTTTCTTAATCACGTTGTTTAGTCTTTCAAGGGGCTTCCTGCAATACAGTCTTATTTATAGACTGTCCATTGTCTTATTTACTGCCTTGTGCTTTGCTTTGTGGAGATGTGCGAGCCTGCTGGCATCAGAACTACCATGGTTGGAAATAAATTGCTGGAGTGTTAAAATTCATAAACTGCTTTTATGGTATGTCTTGAGAACCCTATGTAGAATGTAGCAGGGCTTGCAAACATGGAGAACTGAACATTTTCAGAGTAGACCAGAGGACACACAAGGAAAAAGGAAGGGTAGAGCCATATATATGAAGGCTGGACGACCTCTCACTTGTAAGTAGTATGAGGCGAAGGTACAAAATTTCTTGATAAAGGGATGGCTTCATGATTTTGTTTGGGCTCATCTGAGTTCATGCTTCTGCTGCAATTGGAGAAGGGTTGCTAGACTGCGTTAGTTGCAGCAGCAACTGACGGTGGTCAGAGTCTTTTTTTCCTGTACCTGTTTGTGGCTTTTGGATGTTTGGTATATTCTGTCAGCTCATCTCTTGCCTTAGCTCTTTCAAGGGGTATGTGTGCAAGCATGTGTCCATGCTTTCACCACTTCCTTCTCTTTTCTGCTAAGAAGAAGTGGGACTGCACCTCTGGGGATTTCTACAGCTTCTCTCATTTTGTCATACATGATGGCATTTTGCCGGGTCTCGGCAGAGCGCTCAAGAAACGCCACCGTCGGCATGGAGGATTTGGCAAAGCAAGCAGGAACCTGGCAGCCTGCAGGAGGGTGCATGGGTTGCCGGTCTGAGAATTGCAAAGCTGTGCTACTTCAGTGGCAGTCCTGCTACTGCTGAGCAGGGAGAGGGGTACAGAAGGTTTGTTTGCAAGCTCCAAAAGGCACTACACCCGTTTGAAAAATGCTTGTTGTTTATTGCGAGGTTACAAACTTTGATGAGCCAAAAGAGACAGAACTTACATTCTGCAAAACCTGAGGACTTGGTTCTTCCCCTTTCCTTCCCCAAAATTCACAGCCTGCGCTGTTTGACATGAGATCCTATTGATATTCATATTTTTGCAGAACTATGACGTTTTATGTAGCTGATCATTTTACTGTTAATGTATACTGTATCCTTGAGTGTTCACGTGTCTGACGTTTACCATAAAGAAGTATTTCTATATGGGTATCTGGATCCGTTAGGTGAGGGTATGTGTTTGTGTGTATGTATGTATATGTGGAAACTGCTGTGTGTTCTGCCTTCTTCCTGACATCCTGGTTGCTATAGTGCAGTGATCTATTTGTGAACACCCAGAAGATCATTGCTATAGTTAAAAGAATCGGTGTTTCCTGGCCATAACTTCCTGGGCAATCTCTTCTCCTGGTGTGCCAGCTTTAACCAATTCGGTCACGTTCCCTGGGACTCCATGAGTGACACTGTAACAGGAGCTTCCTCTAGTTTGTCGCTTTTCCCTACTGGCATATTTAATAATATTTAAAAATAGTTTTTCTATTTAAATCTAATGCATGCTATTATTCACCGTATATTTCAGTGCTTCAGCCATCTTTCTAACAGACTGTCGAGCTATGCAGCGTGTTGTGTCCTGTGTCTGCTTCTGTAATATGTGCCATTCTTCTGCCCTTGCACATACATACACACATACGTTTTCATCCACCTGCCCAGCCAGGCAAAATGTAGGAGACGAAGCAGCAGCACTGGAGTTCTGTCTGAACTGCTGTATTATTATTTTTATTCTTTTTTTTTTTTTTCCCCTTCTCCCTGCAGGTGTGAATGAGAGAGACTCTCTGCAGTATTTAGTGTCCAGTTGTACTGGCTCTGAAGAACAGCAGCATCGCAATGCCCCCTCCTGCTGATATAGTGAAGGTGGCGATTGAATGGCCAGGTGCCTTCCCCAAGTTAATGGAAATAGATCAAGTAAGTGCCTGTGTATGTGTGCTCGGCCAATGCTTGTGCGTAAATAAGTTCTTCTCTGCGTGTGTGTGTCTCTGCATTTATGTTTACTTTGGGGCACACATATGTTTCTGTGAGTGCGTTTGTGGTAAAAGGTGTTTTTTATAATGGGCGTAACCCTCTTCCTCTCTTACTGCTTAATGTTTTTGATGTGTTTAGCTGTTTTTTCTGATTTGCTTTTTCTTTTTAAACAGCTGCTTAAATAAGGTGTTTACTGCTTGTGTGACCCCCTTAACACTTTCGTGCCTTAGTTTGTTCAACTGTGAAATTGTGGTAATGTTGTTACCTCTGGGTGGAAAGTCTTCGAATTTTTAGTCAGTGCTTTTCATTTGGAGTAGGATCATACCGAATGGCTGCAGCAAGTGCAGATTTTGGAACTTAAGTAGTGGTGCACTGTGAGCAGAAGGATCTTTGCTGTTCCTTACAGGAATCTCGGGGGTTGTCCTGTTTAGCTGGTTATTTCTAATGCAATAGCCTCATGGACTGATTGGAGGCAGTGTGCAGAAGCTAACAAATTCAAAATTATGAATTAAAGGTTCTTTGTAGGAAATTTGGGCGGGGGAGCAGTTGGGGGGGAAACAAACCAAATCAAGTTATACAAGTGCCATGCTTTATGTTCTGGATTTCTCTGAGATTGTTTTTGTGGCACATGTATTAAAATTAAAAGCAACCTCTTAACAGCTTACCCGTAACGTTTTGAAATCATACAGCATGTTACCTGTTTAGAATAATTATTATTTCTGTAAACAGTATTCAGAGTGAAGGAAAGCATTTCATAATGTGCTTTAGACCCTAGTGTATCTGGGGACCAAGTACATTATAAAGTTCTATTGGAGAGGAGAAAATTTCAATTCATGCAGAAAATGTTTTACTGAAATGGGATCCTAATTTCTTCATGCAGTGCAATCAGTTTCACTTCTAGTTAACCATTTTGTGGCACATGCTTGGGAAATTCCTGTGTGAACTTTGTGGAAACATGGTACTAGAGGGTGGCTGAAATAGCAGCAGTATGATTTTTAGGCACTCTGGAAGCCTCTTTAGAGGTAAGGGGAGTTCCCAAGCAGTTAGCACTTTGTAGTTTGATTTCCAGACCTGTCAAGCTTCTCCATTTTCATTTGCTGAAATTTTTTAGTAAGCATATATCTACAGATACAAATCTCTTGCCTTCTGGAGTGAAGAATGTTTTACTTTTTTCTTCTTATATAACAAATGGTAGACACTGTGCACACTGCGTTCAGGGAAGGATGCATGTTAGTCATGATGAACAACAGCTTGTTGCTACCAAGTACAGTGGGGACAAAAATGAACAAATACTATGCAGTCTCCTTCCAAGCAGCAGTAAAATAATACCAAAATGATTGTTTTTAATTTACAAAATGGCTTAAAGTAACTCTCCAAAAAACCTCATACCTTATCTCATCATATATCAGCTTACTGTCCTGGAACCTTGTTTTTTCCTTTATTACATAAGATTTAAAGGGGACAAGAAAGATCAATGCTAAGTTATGTCGGGTAGAACTCTTCCAACCCAGCCTGCCAAGTTGTCTGCAAGCTTCCTCGTGCCGCTTTATGGGGAGGAGCAGGGAGAAGAGGGAAAATAAGGTTGAAAGGGAGAAGGCTAACAGCAGCCTGCTCCTGATGCAGGGAAAAATGGGGGAATGAAGTTTGAGGGTCTCATTCCTCATCTTTCTGACATGGAAAATACAGGTGTGGTGACAAGAAGTGAAGATGGGAAAGAAACATCCTTTCTTAATACCCATACACACAAACCTGCAGATTTGCCTTTTTCAGCTATGGGAGCTATGTGGGAATGAGCCCTGAAAACATACAGGGTGATACATGCTTCTAAACACACAGCTCTGCCTTTGGTTCACTTAATGCTAACTTTTCCCCAATCTGTTTCCTTTAAAACATCTATTTAGTTGAAGAGCTGTAGCGGAGGAGATGATTCATACCTCAGATGGCTAGCTGTCAGAGATGATAAAGGGAAGGAGGGAAAAGGAAGGCAGAAAAGAGAAATGACTTTCCCATTGACCAGACATTGCAGCCAGTGCATGTCTCCCAGGTGGGATCTGCTCATTCAAGCAGCATTTGACATATATTCAGAAAATCCTAAAAACTTTGCATTACCAGTTTCCTCCCTCTCTGATCCCTTACTAGCAAGAAAAACAGTATTTAAAAGAACAGCACTGTATTATTACTTTAAAAAGAACAACAAAAAAAACTCACTGTAGCATGACGCAGGCTCTTTATCTTTCAGGGTACTGAGGCTATTCCAAATATTGAAGTACAAATACCATATAAGAGATCACAGGAAAATCTGTGTTTTTGTTTTTTTTTTAAGGTTGCTTGCTGTATACACATGGTGGCATTTATTTATATTCAGTTGCACAGTATCCCAATTCACCTGCTGTGTATATGCATATTTTGCTTAACAATGAAGAGAATAAAATATTTTCAAAGTGAGGAAATGTCATTGTGAAACTACAGTGATTAGCAGTGGTGTACTAGAAAGTGTTGGGCCTGAAAAGAGCTCGAGTATTTTTTCCACCAAATGTTATTAAACTTTACATTAAAAACCTCCCCTTCAGGTGCATGACTTCTGACAACCTTGACTTCATGAGGTGCAGAACTTTTCCTAGTTGATGCTTCCCACTGTGTTTTCTGTAGGTTTGTCAACCTGGGTTCATCAATGACAGTTTTAACTTTAATCATACAAAATTAGTTTCACTGAGTTAGAGAGACTCTTTGCTGCACAGTTAATATATAATTAAGTGTTTTTCGGAACCAGCCTCTGTGCCTAACCTTTCTTCTCATTCATTGAAATGTACTATTTGATGTCAGGGTTTTACAACTGCTTTTTTCCTGGAAATTTGCTTTAAACAAGGAGGGCAAAACCGCGTATTATTTACTTACCTATAAGTACTTTTTATTATTACTTACTTATTATTTACTTACTTTACCTCTCTCTTACCAGGTGGGGACTAGTTAAGTTGCAGTAAACCTAGCAACTGGCTGTTGCCTGTATGTATTAAACCTGATTTTAAAGCATGTGCAAGCTAATGTACTTTTCTGCTTTCTCCTTGAGAGATGGACTTGACTGAATTCAGTTACTCTCTTCCTGAATACTTGTTTTTTTTCATTTGGGTTTCCCCCCATTTCTATCACTTTCCTCAATTGTAAATTTGAAAAATAACATCTGGACTCTTCCCCCCTGCGTAAATCCCTACTGGCAATATTAGTACTTGTATTGGGTTTGCATGGCAAGGTTTTGGTAGCAGGGGGGCTACAGGGCTGGCTTCTGTGAGAAGCTGCTAGAAGCTTCCCCCATGTCCGACAGAGCCAATGCCAGCCGGCTCCAAAGGCGGACCCGCTGTTGGCCAAGGCCGAGCCCATCAGCGACAGTGGTAGTGCCTCTGGGATAACAGATTTAAGAAGGGGAAAAGAGTTGCTGTGCAACAGAAACTGCACCCAGAGAGAGGAGTGAGAACATGTGAGAGAAACAACCCTGCAGACACCCAGGTCAGTGAAGAAGGAGGGGGAGGAGGTGCTCCAGGCGCCGGAGCAGAGATTCCCCTGCAGCCCGTGGGGAAGACCATGGTGAGGCAGGCTGTTCCCCTGCAGCCCATGGAGGTCCACGGTGGAGCAGATCTCCACCTGCAGCCCGGGGAGGACCCCACGCCGGAGCAGGGGGCTGCCTGAAGGAGGCTGTGACCCCGTGGGAACCCCGCGCTGGAGCAGGCTCCTGGCAGGACTTGTGGACCCATGGAGAGAGGAGTCTATGCTGGAGCAGGTTTTCTGGCAGGACTTGTGACCCCGTGGGGGACCCACGCTGGAGCAGCCTGGGAATGACTGCAGCCTGTGGGAAGGACTCGCATTGGAGAAGTTCATGGAGGACTGTCTCCTGTTGGAGGGACCCCATGCTGGAGCAGGGGACGAGTGAGGAATGCTCCCCCTGAGGAGGAAGGAGAGGCAGAGACAAGGTGTGATGAACTGACCTCAACCCCCATTCCCCGTCCCCCTGTGCTGCTGGAGGGGGAGGAGGTAGAGAATTTGGGAGTGAAGTTGTGCTCGGGAAGAAGGGAGGAGTGGGAGGAAGGTGTTTTTAAGATCTGGTTTTATTTCTCATTACCCTTCTCTGATTTGATTGGTAATAAATTAAACTAATTTCCCCAAGTTGAATCTGGTTTGCCTGTTACGGTAATTGGTGAGTGATCTCCCTGTCCTCATCTCGACCCATGACCCTTTCATTAAATTTTCTCTCCCCTGTTCAGTTGAGGAGGGGGAGTGATAGAATGGCTTTGGTGGGCACTTGATGTCCAACTAGGGTCAACCCACCACAGTACTCTGGTCAAAATTAATTTTTAATGAAAAGATTTTATTACGACTTTTAAGACCTAGATATAGGAATGATCTTCTACTTTTAAGTCTTCCTGTCATGTAGGAGGAGGAATGGAATTGGGTTGGTGTCTGAATTTGCATTGGGATCTTTTTGTGACTTTTTAGGGGTGCAGTCTGGGGAAGAAATGAATGGTAGACGCTGACTGTCTGTTACCTCCTTCTCCCAATCTTCTGGCTGATTATTGTGGAAGATGTTAAGGGTAGGGCCACACGGCCTCTGTACAGGTGAACCAGGATGCTGGCTACTGTATCCTGTCTTGTCTTTATTTGTCCCAGAAATAGCCATTTTCTAAGAGGATGTTATTTCTTTTGTTCAGATAGAAATTTGCATGCTTTAATTTGTGCCCATTACGTATAACTCATTCCCAACTGTTGGGTTTTTGTTACAGCACAAATTATTTTAGGTAAGCCAGTGCTGGTTTTAGGTTACCTGGGTACTTTGTTCTGTGGATTTACAGCTTCACTCTTCCTGCTGCAGGGGAAGCAGCTTCCAGGAAAGGCACAAGGTGGATATTTGGGGACAGTAACTATTTTAGCTTACCCCATTCAAATCCACTCTTGTG